CTGCTTGTTTAAAAGTTGGGTATGCAATTCCAGTAACCATTAACAAATGATCGAATGATTTTGGTCCTCAGATATGATTGAGTAAAATTCTTAAGTAAAATCTCTCCTTTTCTGATGGCGAAACTGTGTAAATTCTACCAATTACTCTTTGATGGTTCAATCTCAACTGCCAAATCTTTGCACTATTACACCATCTATAATGTTGCGGGATCTCTCGATATAAGTACCGATTTGCAGTTTCATCATCAACATTTAATTGAAAGAATTGGGTAAGCATTGTTCTGGAGTAATACTCATCGCCTAAAACATTTGTGATGTCTTGGAACGTATAAAACCTCACTTGTTGCTTATTTGATAAGTGTATTTGGAGGCGTTCTACGCTAGGAGTCATTTTGGTCATTGGGAATTTGAATAATTTTCCACAATGCTTCTAGAGCACAAACCCATCTTCCATCTATGAACTATTGTACTTCATCATAATTAGGACCTTGACGAACTTCTAGTGCAACACGGCCAGGGCCTTTATAAACATATTTGTATAAATACTTCACACTTGTAACACTACTGTAAATTTCAAGATTGATATGACAATCATATTTCAAGAGCAACCATGAGTTGTATGTAATGACCCAACTATTATCCACCAAGACACTTGGATTACTCTCTAAAGGAACTGATTCCCCTTCTCTTCTTCGATAATCAGGATATGAATCATTTCCAAGTGTAGTAATTGGAGAAAATGGCTTTGGGAAACGTCTTTTGCACCGACCATTTGTCTTACACGTTGATACAAATTTTGGGTATCATTTTCAACTTTATCAAATGAGTGGTACACTCTTGATTGTCCCGGAAATCTCTGAATGATTTTCTCATTGAGCTTGTCGACATCTTCATTGTGAGGGGTTATTATGCCCCTACTAACCATATACTCGGCGTCAAAAGAATGGTTTATGATATCAGGATAAATTTCTTCTAATAGTTGAATTATTGATTCTTCGTCATTCCATGGTATTGCCATCGTTGTTGGTACTTTGATCATTTCATCTATAATGGTAGGTTGTACACCATCTGCAACAGATAAAAGAAATTCACCAAACTGTTGGTCATTTATATAGCGCATGTTTTGCTTTAAACGAAGTATTTGAATGTGACTCCAAAGAGGTGATTTGACTATCGATGCAGCAATAGTTTCAGCTTTTGTACCTTAAGGAACAACTGGAAGTACTTGTTGAAAATCACCACCAAACACCATAATTTTGCCACCAAATGGATAATCAACACTAGTGATGTCTATGAGTGTTCGATTCAAAGCTTCAAATGCATAACAATTTGTCATTGTAGCTTCATCCCAAATGATGATTGTTGCACGTCTAATCAATTCTGCCAAATTTGATTGTTTAGTAATGGAACACACGGAAGAAGCCTCTGGATTTAATGGGATCTTGAATCTTGAATGGGTTGTCCTTCCACCAGGTAAAAGTGTAACTACAATTCCAGAAGTTTCTGTTGCAATGGCAATTTCGACCTTGACTTCTCACTGAGGCCAACAGTGCACGATATAAATATGTCTTTCCAGTTCCACTTGGGCCATCCACAAAGAAGATTGCACCGGTATTGCATTCCACAGCCTCAATGATTGAATTAAATGCTAAGTGTTGATCACTATTTAATGTGGAAATAGAATTTAAGTCTTCTCGAGGAGTTACAACGGAAAACTCATCGTGTATTACCTTTGGAACTGTTGAATTATCATCCAAATTCATTGTCATCTCAGGAAAATCGTATTCTGATCTGTTCTTATTATGCTGTAGCAGGAGACAGTTTATATCTTGCAGAGTTTTGTTAAGGATATACATATTATTCATACTGTTTGAAGATATGTAATCTTCAATCAAGTAAGAATAAATTTCATCCCACAAACTTCGCACCCCTGTTGGCACACAGTAAACCAAAATTGTAACGAACAATCTCCTTAAAGCTAATGGCATGTGCATGGTTGCAGCTTCTAACAAACATTGTCATATGCTATCATCATACTCTAAGAAACCATGATGTTCAACTGCTTGTTTAAAAGTTGGGTATGCAATTCCAGTAACCATTAACAAATGATCGAATGATTTTGGTCCTCGAATATGATTGAGTAAAATTCTTAAGTAAAATCTCTCCCCTTCTGATGGCAAAACTGTGTAAATTCTACCAATTACTCTTTGACGGCTCAATCTCAATTGCCAAATCTTTGTGCTATTGCACCATTTATAGTGTTGCGGTATCTCTCGATATAAGTACCGATCTGCAGTTTCATCATCAACATTTAATTGAAAGAATTGGGTAAGCATTGTTCTAGAATAATACTCATCGCCTAAAACATTTGTGATGTCTTGGAATGTATAAAACCTCACTTGCTACTTATTTGGTAAGTGTATTTGGAGGCGTTCTACGCTAGGAGTCATTTTGGTCATTGGGAATTTGAATATTTTCCACAATGCTTCTAGAGCACAAACCCATTTTCCATCTATGAACTATTGTACTTCATCATAATTAGGACCTTGATGAACTTCTAGTGCAACACGGTCAGGTCCTTTATAAACATATTTATATAAATACTTCACACTTGTAACACTACTGTAAATTTCAAGATTGATATGACAATCATATTTCAAGAGCAACCATGAGTTGTATGTAATGACCCAACTATTATCCACCAAGACACTTGGATTACTCTCTAAAGGAACTGACTCCCCTTCTCTTCTTCGATAATCAGGATATGAATCATTTCCAAGTGTAGTAATTGGAGAAAATGGCTTTGGGAAACGTCTTTTGCACCGACCATTTGTCTTACACGGGGACCGTTCATTGTACATTCCACATGGGCCATGTATCATGTGTTCGAGAATTGCACTGTATAATCTAGGCTCTAATCTCTTGTTTGGAATTTCAGCTCTAACAATGTTATCATAATCATCAGGAGTGCGTTACTTATCATTTTCATCCAAAATAATGACCATGTGGGCATGTGGTAAACCTCTTTTTTGGTACTCAATAACATATGCATATGCTAGAACCTTCCCGAGTACATTTTTTGTAAGAATGTCGGTCTTCATCTCATCAAATTTTGAATAAAATATTCTTGTTAGCAAATCAAGACGATCATGTGGTGACTGTCCAGGTAGCAACTCAGCTTTAATTTCAATCCAATTTGGATTGCAGGTCATTGTAAGGAAAATATCAGGTTTTCCATACTTTTGGACCAGAGCCATTACACCTTGATATCGCTGATACATGTCTCGTGGGCTACCAACAAATGACGATGGCAATATTGTTCTACGACCCACATTACCTAAACAAATATTTCACAAAAGAAGAAAAAAATTGTATGTATGAATATAAACAAACATGTGTACATGTAATTGTAATATCGTACGTGACAATTTGTACTTCCATAATTTTCACCAGCATGTACTGCATCTAGAAGACCTTGATAAAAATCTGCTCAAATGTCATTCTGATGAGTACGTATTTATCTTAATTTGTTGGACTCAATCTTCACGTAATTATTTATGACATACTGCTGTAAAAGACGACCTCCTCGAAGAAAAAGAGATTGATCACCAGGGCGAATATGAATTGATAGTATTTGAATACTTATAAGTAATTAAAAGTAAAGATTTCCTTCGATATAATTATAGATTAAACAACTTCGACGAAGTAATTTTTTCATATTATGTGTACGTCGTACCTGTAGCATATAAGAATAGAAATCACAGCATGTTACTTTTCTGCCATCATTACTTTTGCTATTTGCATCTCATCCATATGAACCATAGGGTAACAACAGAGGATATTGTAATGGATCATAATATCCGACAATATCAAGAATATTTAGGAGGTGACCACTGGTTGATTGGACAATGATATCTCTTGGTCTTAAATTTCCAGCTTCTTCGCCACATGCTAAAACTGCAGCAACTTCAGGAGCAATCGGAAGGTAGTATTGGGGCCTATTATGTGGTTGCTCTTTGATCTGAAGTTTGCATTCATGTATATCTGGACGCTGAGCTAACTGTCGAAATGTGTGTACAAATGGATTATGAGCATTTAAAATATTCTTTATCTTGTCAAGCAAAACCAAGTGCAATTCTTCATTTTCAGACATTCGATTCTCATTCTTGTAGTCAGTGTCATAAACATACAGTTGCAAATATCTCGGTCCGTCGCTAAAATTTGGTAAGAGACTCCCAATCTTATGATATATGGATCCTTGTGCACGAAACATGTACACACCTCGAGTTCTTGTTGCTAAGTTTTCATCAACATGAACACCCATTGAAGTGAATGAGAAAACATGATTATAGAATCGAATATTTTATCTGAAATGATGACCCTCCACTGTTTGGTCAGAGAAAATATCAATCATCTCATTTGGAGCTGTTACTGGTGGCAAAACAATGGTTCCATTATTACAACACATGGTAGACGTTTCACGGTGGAACAATCTTGCGTTGCAATGTCTACATGTAGTTGGAGCAGGAAACTACATTCTTTGGAACCTTTCACTTTCATGAAAATTTCTTGCACAATTGTGATATCTATGGATAAATGAACGATTATCTATAATATCTTCATCACTCAAAGCATCTTGATTGTGGTCGACATGAGGGATATTTCCTATGACAATACATGTATGATGTATAGGTTTATTATTAACACAATACTATTTATTTGAAAGTGTTTGAGTTGCATGTTCAATTTTAATTGTAATTGTACTGGATATCATATTTGCATGGCCATTTTAACTTCGTGAGGATCATCTTGTTTGTTGCCACTTGTGCTTCCATGCTCATAAGTCGAATGAGTAGGTGCATATCGGGATAAGTTGATACGTGAGCGTAAAGTCATTCTACTTTCCCGACTAAAAACATTAGTCGCAACTAAATCCCCTTCTTCGTGAATGGTTGGCAAAACTGTTGCTCTCGGCCTGCGCCATCCTGTTCTATTTCTTCTTGGGATTGCATCCTAACAGTTAAAATTGTACATAATAAATTAAATGAATATTAATGTCAAATTTAGAAGCGTAAAAGCTTTTAAAAAAAAAACGTTTATAAAATTTGAATACTTACTACTTGTTTGTGCATTTGTCATATTATGTGCTTGATTTGGATGAGAAGTTTGTTCGAGATTTTCAGATATTTGTCTTCTTTGTCGATAATTTGTTCATCGCCTTGCTAGTTGTTGTTCGTGCTGTTTAGTAGTCAAAGCAGCCCTCCTTTGTCTAGCGTAATTATGCAAACTTTCCCTTTGAATTTCTCTTTTTTACACATTAGAACTCGCGCTTTGTTCGCGAATGAACAATCTTCGCCTACGCTGAGTAAGACGACGTTGCTCCAATCTTGCTGAGCGTTGTTCAGTGCTCAAGTTTTGAAGGCGAAACTATTCGAGTTCTCTTTGTGGTTGTTCAGTTTGAGCATTTGATTCCGAAGCTGAGCGTTGCCTCCTCTGTTGTAGATATAAACAACATCGTTCACGATTTTGTTGTTGTACATGTCTCAAATTTGATGTGTTGAGGTAATCATGATTCATTTTTTCTGAGATTGTTAGTAAACTAACACTTATGTAGATGAAATCTGGCAATTTTTAAAATGTGCCTACATTATATAAAATTATGTGAAAGACAATAATAATATATCCTAAGGTTTGTATTTTTAAGTTTTTTGAACTGTTTATTTTTAGTAATATGTGTTATGTAGATGAAATCTAGTTATTTTTAAAATGTGCCTACATTATATATTAGATACTAATTTCATATTTTTTAGTTATTTATATGTAATTATGTGAAAGGCAGTAATAATATATTATGAGATTGTTAACTGCAATGTCACTCGTATACTCACAAAGCTTTATATCTTTATGCAAGTGTTTTCATATGTTTGTTTATATATTTTTATAATGCATAATATTTTAAGTACTAATATCATTTTGTGGAGAATTAAATAAAATTGCAAGTGAAAGAGATTACCTGGTAATGATGAGCCAAAGCGTGTGCAACTTGAAATATAATTTAAAACAAATTGAATATAATTTTTTCAAACATTCAATTAAATATAAAAAAAAAATTAAAAATACTTACTATCAAACGTCACGTTCAACAATCTCTTCAAATTGTTTTGATGCAATTTTGGACATACATATATGACAACATTAAACTACAAAAAATAAGATGAAATTGACAAAAAATGAAGTACGTAACTTACCATGTAACAATGTTGCACATATTTATGCAACTGAAAAAAAAAATTATAATATTAAAATAATTGTAATTTTTCTTCAAGTATATTTGTAAGTTTTTTTTTCTAATTTTTTTTTAAGAACAATTCAAATAATGTTATGAGAAAGATCATGAAAAAAATATATATAACTATTTTTAATTTTAATAACTTTTGGTGTCCTCTGTAGACGTCCCCGAACGCCCCGGGAGGGTGAGTCCCGTTCTGTTCGTTTTGGGCTCACTTACAGTTCGGACTCTTGAATCGTCACGGTTCTTAATCTGAACCAAAGAGTCCAAATCTGGCAAATCATTTTGAGAAAACAGATTTTTAGAAAAGAAGTGCCAAACATGGACTGCTTTGCCAGATACAGAGTCGCCACCTAAATATTTTATTTTGGAGGAATTTAGGAAACCCTGACTCGTTTGCCTAAGACCACATGTCCGTCATTACCAAAGTTACCTCGGCTCGGGAACATGGGTACGATTAGGGAAGGTCAGCTATGAGCACCCCCGCTCGCCCGATCAAGGATCGGCCTCTACTAACCATGATATCTTGTTTTGAAAGCATTATGTGTTCTTATTCTGGTTATTAGCCTAGAATTACTATGTTATGCACACAGCAAACAAGTATAGACCAAATCGCCTAAATTGGAACAAAAGGTTTCATGTTTGTTTTGAAAATGGTTTGCTACTCGCAAGTAGGCTAAAATGCAGGTTTTGCCACCCTCGAGTGGGCTTTGGAAAAGATGATTTTGCCACTATTCAGTGGGCTTAAAACTCACAGTTTTAGTGCATTATTCCAATTTAGGTAATTCAACCTCCATCCACAGGCACTCAAGCAGTTATATCACATAAGCAGCTAGCCTCATGGTAATTATGCTGTCATGTTAACATTCACACTCATGCGAGATGCTAAAGCATAAATGCTCACCTAGTACTCCGAGCCAAAACAAAAACTAGTTAGTAATCATATGCATGATCCTAGTCCATGTTAAGATGGCTAATTCAACACATGCAAGATGCAACTACAATAGGCTCGGTTATTCTAAGATGGCATATGATGATGCTACAACAAACACGTATTCAACTTAGAATTGAAATACAATCCAGTTAGTATGATGCGCCGAGCCCGGTGCATGCAAGACAAATGTATGGATGCACACATGCATAGCATAAGGTATGCTAATTTAAATATGCCCTAATACTAACCATTGAAAGCAAGTAAGTAAAAGGGAGAAAGAAGTGGGGGTTGGAAGACATGCACGCACGCACCCACACTTATTACAAATTCGCCCTCGCTTGGAGGGACCAAAAGAATAATACAAATCAATTAACCTACAAGCTAATTAAATATTACAGACCACTTAACTAGTTAAGCAAATTAACTAAGCTAAGAAAGTAGTAAAGGCCTCAGGAAGAGGGTCCAATGCACGTGTGCTCGGGTTTGCTCGGAAATCCATTGCCATGCACAAACTACCTCTGTTTACCCTGCTTTGCTCTTCTGAAAAATGCACAACTCCCAAGGAGCACTCTATGGATGTTGGGGAGCATCACCGACCAAGTGGGATCATCACCGGCCAATTTGAAGTGGTCATCGACCATCCATTGAGCTCTCGGCCAAATATATTTGGTTGGTCGGCAGTATATATGGCCGGCCGGCCAAAACTTCCTGCAGAAACCTGTTTGACAACAGCAGAGGGCAGACAAGGCATGGCAATGCATTTTCAAAGCAATGTTTGCACCACCACCCTCCTTATCATGTTCATGACTCAAAGGGGCATGGTATTCGATTCTCGGATCACCAATTGCGCATTTCAATGCGTGATGGCCCAAAGAGTCAAAGTGTGCAATTTCAATATGGAATGAAATGCACAAAACAAACAATGGGCCCCAACCTCCATCATAATCAATTCAAGAGGCAAGAGATGCATGCTTAATGTTATGCAACCTAGGCATGGAAGCTAAGCATGCAATATGAGCATGTGAACAAGCAATGTAAACATACAAGCATGCAAGTTATGCAAACTAGCGAGCATGCAAGATGGATGAACATGCAATGACATGTGGGAATGGTCTTAAACCAAAATGGGCAGCTCTCAAATAGGCCCAAATCAGTGGCCAAATGCCATGGAAATGAGGGCCAAAACACATACAAGCATGCATGCACACAAGGTCCAACACTTAGGCACCAAAGAGCAACTTTTAAGCACACTTAAAAGAGGATAAACATGGATACATGGCATGCATAGAAAGCTCTGAAATCATATTATAGAAGGTGCAAAACCAAGTAAACAAGACAAGCTAAGCATGCAACAATGGTCTAAAACTCAAGGCAAGCCAAGGGGGATTACATGGTAGCTATACAAAGCAAGCCATGGATGGCCTAAGCAACCAAAAACAGACCTTAAGCATGCTAAAACAAGCATAAAAGCTTCACAAAGCTAGGCCAAAACAAGTAAGCATAGTGGTCTAAACGCTAGGCACATGTTAAGGCAATTCATGACATTACAAGACAAGTATGCATAGCAAGAATGGTGTGTCTAAACCAAGTAAAAAACAGTGCTATATCATGGCAAAATAAGCACAAATAACACTTAAGACATGGCCAACATGAACTTAAAA